AAACTCTGGTGAAAAGGAGAACTCATCTTAAGCAATCATATCTGTGTCATACCTGGGTTATACCTAAATATATAGCTATTAAAAAGGATTTTTGGGGTGCCACTTAAAGTCATCATGTACCCACTGGTGGAACGTGTCCAACACTAACAAATATTATACTAGGCCTTATGATGGTTCTGCCTCTTCCTTCACAGGGTTCTTTCTAAAGTATAAGCGATCCTGTTACATTCCTCTTTCTAATTAAGTCCAAACACCAGCATGGCATCAAGATCACCCAGTCTCTAGCTCCCAACCTACCCTCAGTCTGGGAACCCAAGAGAAAGGCTGGGATAAGACCCTTTCGCTCAGCTGTGCCCTCCTCCCGCCATCCTATAGCCCCTTCTAGACGGTCCATCGCATTTTAGTTCCCTTGTGAATGGCAGTGGCCTTGCATTTAGGCGCCACCATTCTCCATCGGTGTAACATCACTTAGTGTGGGACATTACTAAGGTAGTGAAGTTTGGTTTTCTCGTGTAGGAAATAAGATGATAAGCACGGTTGTCTTGCAGAATGACTGCCAGGCTTAACTGAGATAACAGACGAGAAACTCTGAACATACACGAAGGGCTCTGCAAACGTTCCCCCCGCAGAAGCCTCTCGATCCTGTCTCATGCCTCGAGCCGCCTGCTTTGCTAGCACGTGTCCAGAGCGGACAATGCCTTGTCAGCCCGTTATCCTCCCGCAGCATCCCAGAGAGATTGGGCAGCAAAGGGGTCAAGATTAAAAAACATTTCTCAACCAGGGTCTTAAGTCAAAACACACAACGACCCTGTAAAGGGGTCGCTATAAAGGGGAAGCTATTATCCTCTCTCTACACACGAAGAAAGAGGCTCGAGGTTTCGCGACCGTCCCGCGGCGGGAAAGTGGCAGCCCGGCGCCCTCGCCTCGGCTCCGCGCGCCGCACACGGCCCTCCACGGCCCCCGGCGCAGAGCCGACCCCGCCGCCCTCGGAGGCGCTTCCCGTGGGGTCTCACCTGGCCTCTGGAGCGCGAGGCCTCGGCAGCGAGCGCTTGGTCCGGTGTCCCCCACGACAAGCCTCAGCCAGCACCTGTCTCAGCGCGACCGGCGGGTACCCTCTCGCTCAGCCGCCTTCCAAAGCCCGCGCTCCCGTCACGTGACCCGCCGCGGTGCACAGCCTCCTGGGAAGTGTAGTTCAGGCCCCGATCTCCTCAGCCAGCTTCTCTCACGGCCGACAGTCTCGCCAGGGTGAACGGACTCTTTCAGCGACCCTGCTCTACCCTTCTCCACCACTTGTCCCTACTCCATATCAGGCCCCCGTAGGTCCCCAGCTCCCTCTATACCCGAAACCACAGGACTACAAGTCCCACAATGCCAAGGGCGCGGCCGCACTTCCTCTTCCGGCCGAACAGGGCGCCTGCTCCCGCCGACGTGTTCTTCCGGTGGCAGAGCGGCGGATACCCTGAGCCCGGCAAAATGGTGAGAGGGCTGAGGGGAGTTCCCGACAGGGCTGTGGGGACCCGTCGGTGCCCGTCCCACGCCCCGTCTCTCTCGCAGAGACCTCAGACGCCCGAGCTCTCGAGAGCGGGAGGCTCCTGTATCCTCCGGCTTGGGCTGAGGGGCGGGGAGGGGAAGCATCCTGCCGTGGCCTCTTTAGGCTGAGGTTTTGATCTCGCGATTTTTAAGGGTGAGGGACTTGAGGTGCATTTTTAAGACTTTCGAGCTTTTGTCTCTGTTACCTGTGTTCAAGCTCTCTCTACCTGGCAAGTTCTTCCCCTTGCCGAACTCGTATTCATCCTACAAGGCCCTGGGCAAATGTCACCTTCTTGGTGAAGCACTTCCAAGTCTCTGGGGCACTTGGCCGCTCCCTCCTGGGAGCTCCCGCAGCCTCGGTACAGACCTCTCGCCACGTGTCACGGACCTCTTTGTTATCTGCCACGCCTCCTAGTGACCACCGTCTGACGTGCAGCCAGCCCTGGGATGATGTCTATTCATCTTTGTATTCCCAGTGCCAAACACAGGGCCTGCCATCGGAGGCTCCATAAATGGCAGCGATTGTCTGTCGTTTTCAGGGGGGGCATAAATGTGTACGGAACTGAATTGCAGTGTCTCTTAGAACAATAGGGTCAGTTTACTTCTCCCGAGTTGTTATGTTCTGGGTTTTAGAAGCGTTGGCCGGTGGGTGGACAATGGAAGTTAACATTTGTACCGAACTTGACGTTTGCAGCCCTCTTTCACTGGCATGATCTCATAATCTTCCCATAACTTTGGGAAGGAAACAAACACCTATTGATGAGCGCTTACTCTATGGCAGGCCCTGAGCTAGGTCCTTTGACGTTTGTCATCTTCCTTAAATCATACGTCAACCCTGGGAGACAGATATCATTGTAACTCCTTACTGAGGCTCATGTTATTCACTAGAGCCAGAATTTTGACTGATGTCTTCCGCGTGGAGATCCTGAGATTCCATAATCGTGTAGCGGGAAGACTATAGAATTAGCAGTTGAGATCTGGGTACTGGTCCTGGCTGCGTGAATTACAACAGGGATTCTTAGCTTGGGGTCTACAGATATGGGTCCATAAAGCTCTTAAAATTATAGGCCTACTTTTTTTTAATATGTGGCTTTTCCCAGGCAGAGTTCATGCGTTTCATCACGTTTTTTTCATAGCGGTGGGGGGCCTCAGGTGATGCTATGGACCACTGATGCATAGCTAATCAGTCACCTTCTGTGTTTCAGCCTCTGATTCTCAGCTGCCCTTCTTAGCAAAAGACAAAGGGCCCCCTTTGTGTAAGATGTAATTGTTGTCCTTCCCACACTGAATCACCTGATGTTGGTTCTGAAGGATTTCCGTACTTCCCAGGCTGAAACAGGCCTTTAGCAGGCACAAGCAGCCCGAGGCTCCTTGATGACCCCGTGGTCCCCCCAGGTTGAAGTCGTGGGATTCTTCGATGGCTCTGATCTCATGTCCTCCCCTAGGAGCTTGAGGCCATGAGCAGATACACCAGCCCAGTGAACCCGGCTGTCTTCCCCCATCTGACTGTGGTGCTGTTGGCCATTGGCATGTTCTTCACCGCCTGGTTCTTCGTGTATCCTTTTGCTGAGCAGCCCGTGGGCCAGAATTAGTGACGTGGGAAACCGAGGGAGAAACCACGCGGGGCACATGCACCCTGTCAGTTTTGTTCTGGCGTGAGGATGGGGGAGGGATGGAAGTCAAGGGAAGGCTCTGGATGTCCCAGGTCAGGTAGTGCCCATATCTTCCAAGTTCGGGTGAGCTCAGTTTGCTCTTCAGACTTCCAGGATAGTAAACAGAGGGCCTGGCTGCACTGGAGGTTGGGGATAGGGGACCTGAAGTTGAAAACTGGTATAAGGAGGGGTGCACTGAGGTGTCAGGAGATCTGAGGGCTAGTCCCAGCTCTGCCACTCATTAGCTGTGTGACCTGGGGCAAGTGACGTAACCTCTCTGGGTCTTATTTTCTTCATGGGTGGTGGAGGGGTGGTACGGAGCACCAGAGGCCCTTTGCCCAGACCTTTCTCCCAGAGGTGCACTGGCCAGGCTCCCTGCCCTGCGCAGTCCATCCCTTTTCTTCTCCTTAATCGCCCTGCCAGTTATGAGGTCACCTCCACCAAGTACACTCGGGATATCTACAAAGAGCTCCTCATCTCTCTGGTGGCCTCGCTCTTCATGGGTTTTGGAGTCCTCTTCTTGCTACTCTGGGTCGGCATCTACGTGTGAGCCCCCAAGGGTAAGAGCTGTGACAGGGTGGGACACTGGAGAAGCCACCAGGTCCTCAGGCCTGCACGACCCTTTGGGCAGTGGAGACAGACTCAGCAGAGTGGATGGGGACGCCAGGCACATGTGCCTCTTTCCCTGTCCTTAATGGGGATTTGAACTGAGCGTGACCTACCTTGTCCATTCAGGGGTCTCCACACTGCCCAGGGCCTCAGGTGGGCTTTGGGGTGTCCTGCGTAGGGCTTTGGGCACAGGCTTCCCGTGGTTACACAGCTGCAATCTTGCAAGTCACACCATTGTCTTAGAGAGACTCCTGGGGAGTGGGCTAGAAGCGGGTCAGGATCTGGGACTTAGAACTTCAGCAAGGAGTACCATCTTGGTTAGTCTCGGTGTTTTCAGTCATTGAAATAAATCTTGACTAAGTGATTTTTAAAAAACCAAAAAACCTTGCTGCAGATAATCCGTCAGACAAGTCACTGAGAATCGGCCCTGGTGGCCCAGCTTCAAAGGAGTGTGCCTGCCAGCCCTTGCCCCCGGAGCATAGGGGTTCAGTGAGAAAAGTGGGTCAAATGAGGGTCCTTGGTCTCATTTTTGATACCCCTCTCTTTCAGGTTCCAACCAGGCGGCTTCACTGAATCCCTGCTTTTGTAAATTAATTTTTTTACCATTGCTGGAAGTGTCCCACCTGCTGCTCACAATAAAGGCAGATGTGTGACAGTCCCTCTGGTGCCCATTCTGCGGCGTGGGGGTGGTGCTGGTGCTGGGTGCCAGTCCCACCCCTTCCCATTTCTCTTCTGCCTTTCAGTCGGTTCCTGCTCCTGGGAAGCCGTGCCCTCTACCTTTGAGGGGCGAGGCGGGTGTGGGAGGGCTGTCTTGTCCTTGGAGTTGAAGGCCTACCCTCGTCTGTTGTTCCTAGAGCAAACTTCTCCTGAAACCCGCACCAAGCAAGTCTGCCCCAGGCCAGTCCCCTCCTCTAAGTGTAGCCACCCTTCTCTGGGCTGGGGACCCTCAAGAGGCTCAGCTTGTCCCCAAGAAGGCTTTTCCCTAATGTGGCTACTTTGAACCCAAGTAAGGCAGCTGTAGGTCTGTGGGGTGTGGCTAGGCGAGGCAGTTGCTGAGTCATGTTCCCCAGCCTGCATGACGCTAAGAAGGATAACGGAGGGCAAAGCATCCCTCTGGCTCAGCGGCCCCAGAGCTTCCACTTGGTCCCGGCCCCACAGGCGACTCCATCTCCCACCAGAACAATCTCAAGAAGAGACGGGGAGGCAAGCTCAGATACAAAGCAGTATTTATACATTTATTTATATACGTATATTTACTTCAGAAGAAAAGGACAGTTCAGGGGACAGGAGGCAAGCAGGCCCGGGGCTGCTTCCCTCTGCCCACTCCAGAGTCAGAGTTGGTACGCGATAAATATGAGTCAAAGCTCAGGGACAGGAACTGGGAGTTAACTGGGAGGGAGGGGGCGCTCTATGCACACGCAGGCTTTTGCAGGGGAGGTAATGTGGGTGGGGACTGTGCATGGAGAGGCCCTCTGTACAGCTTGAAGCTTGGGGGAGATTAGCCCAGTGGCTACGGGAATAAATGCCAAAGGGGAGAGGGGGAGGGAGGGATGGCTGCTGGGCCCTGGGAGGGGATGGAGCCCAGACCCCTGCTCACTAGTGCCACCTAGGCTGCTGTCAGCCTCCAGCAGGTGGCCGACTTGCCTTCCCTGAAGCACTTTAACCTTATTGGGCTTAAGGCAACTTTGGTCCAAGGTTGACCCCCCTCGAGCAGCTTGGAGCCCCAGCTTGGCCCCAATCCTTGCACTGAGGACCCCCTCCCCAGGCGTGGAAACAGCCAGCTGCTAACCAGATTGGGGCTATACTGTGTCCACATGGGCTCCAGGGGGCAGTGGAGGGTCACTTTCCAGTTAAAGACTGAGGGGCTGCAGTCCAAGAACTTGCACCCTGACTGAGGGAGCCCAAGAATCCTATTACAAGGGGCGGGTCTCGGCAGTTTTAAGGCATTAGAGGGAGAGTTCCCCCAGGGGGAGGAGGGAGAACAGAGTAGTCCTAAGTAAGGCTCCACCCCTGCGTGGTGTGCGGAGCCATGTAATTCCTATGTCAGCTTGAGGGGGTGGGATCACGTTGGGGAGCGGACTGGGAGGCAGGGTACTCCTGCTGTCCCCTAAATTCCCCTGGTGTTTCCCCATCCTGAGAAGTGCTCTGAGATCTACGGCAGAGGGGGCCCACAGTTCACAGGCTGCTTCAAGATGCAGCTTCCCCACCACAAGGCCTCCCATTCAAAGCGGAGAATGGGAAGTAGGAGAGGGGCAAGGCCTGGTTCCCAACGAAGTGGCAGAGTATCACAGCAAGGACGGTCAGTCCCGGCCCCCTTCCTGAACCCTGCAGACATGGCTGAATGATTTCCACCCTCCTTCCGTGAGCCTGGATGTGGCCTCAATGCTCCAGGCACCCACTACGTGCCACTAACGTTGGCACTTGTGATGAGACTTCATAAGCCAGGCCCACTGCTTCGCTCCTGGGAGGAGTGGCAGAGATGGGGCCTCCTGCCAAGCACGGGTCCCTCCAGCTTCGCTGTCCGAGCCCAGCACGGGAGCCCCTGATTTGGGGAGACGAGGCCACCAGCAAACAAGTGTGGAGGGAGAGGCCAGGCATGGTGGTCAGGAGTGGGATGGTCTTGAGGCTCCGTGGGACGGATCAGAGCCAGGGCCCTGTCTGCAAGCATGCCCCCCAGGGCTCTGGCCCACCCTGGGCTTTCCATCTCCATCCTTCCACTCCTGCCCTTGGTTTAAGTGCATTTTAGTAATTCATTAACAACAGCCAAAGCTGTCTGCGTCCACCCACCAGCCAAGACCGGCCTACTGCCCTGTAGGGATTCCTGCTCCTCTGCTCAGAGGAAGTGATGGGTCACTGACACTACTGTGAGCTCTGGAAGCTCCAGGGGTCCAGGCCATGGGGCAACAACGCCATCTGGGGACTCACCGGGACCTTCCCTCCCCAGATACTCCAGGTTCAAGGGTCCAAGGCTTACCTGGCCCACTGGCCCCCATGGTTCAGCCAGGCACTAAGTGTACGTAAGGCACATGGTCAGTCTCCAGCCCATCCAAGGGCTGGCTTCAGCTGTCCTGGGAGCTCTTAGGAGCCAAGTTTACCCGGAAAGAAGAGACCTCCTGGGCCACACTTAAAGCTTATAAGTCCAAGTCCAGCGTAACAGGCAAACCCCAAACGTCCACCACCTAGCCACCCCCAGGGAGCAGCTTCGAGGATGAAGGCTGTCTGCCCTCTGCCGACTCATGGGTCCAGCCAAGTCTCTTAGGGCTCATCCAGGCCCCCCGCTGCTCTCAAAAGTGGGCAGGTCCTCTCCAAAAGCGGGTGGCTCCCAGTCTCAAAGGAGGGGCAGGGAGGGTGGGCTCTGGACAGTCACAGGCTTCCCCTTGCCTCCAGGGCACCTGAAGCCAGCCCTCCACCCACCATATCTGGACAGATGTGAATTGGTCCTGTCCTGGCCCCACAGGTCTCTCTCTGGCTTCCTCCATGGTGTGTGAGGGGCGACCAGCAGGAACAGCAACTCCAGTGTGAGGACTTCCAGTTTCACCAGTCTCGGGGAGGGCCAAGCCCGGCTCAGTCTCTCTGAGGGAGTGCCAGTGAACGGCAGAGAGATGGCGGGCAGCAGGCTCCAGTGTAACACCATTGCATCCAGTGTGGAAGGGGCGCCCAGGGACCCCCGGGCCCTGGTGTGGTGCTGCCTTGAGGAAGGCAGCTCAGTCACACAGGCGGTAGAAGTGGAAGTAGTAGTCTGTGGCTGGCCGGGCCAGAGCCTCCGCGCTGCAGTTGGCCTGACCCTGAGTGGAAGGGCAGCAGGAATGGGTGAGGCGGCTCTGGAGGTGCAGGGCAGGAGGCACTCCCCCTGCTCACATTGCCTGACACTGTCTCCCAAGTCCTTCCACGCGCTCTGCAAACCCCCCCACCCCTCCCCAAGCCCCACACTGAGATACAGGTATCTGGACCTCTGGGGACAGGTGGGGTGTCTGTGCTCACCAGCAGTGCCACGCGGAAGTGGTAGGTGAATTCACGGAAGGACAGGATAGTTACTGGCCACTGGTGGGAAGTGCCCTGGAGAGAGAAGGGAGAGGGGTCAGGACAGCCCCTGCCCCTATCCCAACCAGCATCCCTCGCGCCACAGCCATCACAGCCCTGGACTCTCAGCAAGGTTTTTGAAGGGTAAAAGCAGAGAGATCAGAGGGAGCAGGTTCTGCTTTGGGGAGCAATGGCAGGCACCCTCTATGCAGACTATGCCAAATACCTTCAAGTCCACAGCCGTGCCCCCTGGCCCCTGCCTCCCTTCCCTTGCACCCATTATGCTCCAGGCACATCCAGGTATTTCACTGACCCCATCCTCACCACACCCCAATAAGGTGATGCTGTTTCTAGATGAAGGAACTGAGTTGCTTGCCTAAAATCACCAGTGGACACGCAGCAGAGCTGGGATTCAAACCCAGGTCTGTCATGCTCGCCCTTGCCAGGTAGCGTGAGGCCTGGCCGCATGCAGCTGGCCCACCTCCTACCTGGCCCCTATACTCTGTGGGCTCAGGCCTCAGCTCCCCGTCTAAGGAGCATCCGGCCAGGCTCTCCCTCCACTCAGGTGCTGTCTTCTCTGCAAGGTCACAGGGCCTGGGCCCCTTTTGAGGCTCGCTCACTCCATCCTCTACTCAGGTTACTTTCTGCACATCTTTTCTCCCCAGGTAGAGAAGGCATTCTTGGAAGGCCAGGCCCATGTCTACCCCAGCTCTGCCTCCCCACAGCTTGGCCCAGCACTGGGCCTGGGACAGGGAGGCCCTGACAGATACTGGTTGAATAAACACATGAATGGATGAGAAGAAATTTCCTTCATTTGTGTTGAGAGTCACAACTTTGGGTCACATGGCCAGTGACAGGGACCCAGCCGTTTGGTTCCCGGAGCAGGAGCTAGCCCTCTACATGTAGCCCAAGGGCTCTTCCAAAATCATAGCTCGAACCATGCCACTTGCCCAGCCTGAGCCTGAGGGCGGGCTTCTTGTTGTCCCCGGACTCTCAGCCCTTGCACACACAGTTCCAGCCCTGCCAGCAGGCGGCGCCCTCCCTGGCTTCCAGATCTCTGCACATGCTGTTCTCCTGAGACACCGTCCTCTTCCTTCCCCAGCTGACCCCAAATCATCCTTCAGGTCTCGTGTTAGTTAAACATGACTTTTGTGGGTGGCTGTCCTGACCCTGAGACCAGACCAGGTTAGCTCTCCCTGCTGTGGGTGCCGAGGACACCCGCCCTGTCCCCACCACTGCACTCATTCCAGTTGGTCTTCATGGAGCTGTTTTCTTCCCCAGGCTCTGTCGGGACAGGGCCAAGGATGGGACAGAGCAGGGACAGGGCTGAGAAGATGCTCAGCAGCAAGGTGCACGCATGCCCCCCTCCCCAAGGCACAGAGGCCCAGGCCCTGAAGTGTCCCTTATGGAGCCGCCTTCACTCTGAGCCCTGGCTCCCTCCCCTCTCCCGTTTGGGGGCCCAGCTGTGCCAGGGCAGAGGAAGCTCTGGGGCCTAGCTGGCCCCTACCTGGGTGTCCTGGTGGGTGTGAAGGCTCTGCAGAAAGCCCCCCTCCTCACACGGCTCCTCCTTTGACATGAGGCGGCACAGCACGACGGACACGGGAGATGAGGAGCTGGGGGAAGGCCAGTCAGCAAGGAAGTGGGCTTCCGAGTTCCTCAGCGCCAGCCCCGCCCAGCCAGCCCTCCACTCCACCCGCCCTGCCCCACTGAAACAGCCACCACATCCCACAACCTGAGAAGGAGGCATAAGAGTCAGGGTCCTAACAGCTACCGTCCCTTCCCCACCTACCATCCCGCGTGGTCTTCACACCCCCGGGAGGCAGCAGCCCATTTTACAGGAGCGCTGAAGCCCAGAGATTGCCTGGGTCCCAGAGCCAGTGAAGGATGGGGCAGGCGATAAACTTAGCATCATCCCTCCCAGGCCCCCTTCGCCAAGTTGCCCAGGACCACCGCAGCCCTTGCTCCCTGGCGCTGGCACTCACTTCATCTGCAGGGTCAGGCTGAGGTGCAGCGGGGTGCTGCTGCTGATGGGGATGTGGTAGGTGAAGTTGCCAGGCCTGAAAGGGCAAAGCTGGCTCCTTAGCCCAAGGCCAGCCTGCTGAAGGCCCCCCCGTCGACTCCTCAGCCCCCAGTCTACACTGGAGCCCTTCGAGGCCCGAGAAAGGGGCTGCCCCGCCTTGGGGGGGAAGCTCCTCCCTGAGGGGAACAGGAGCTGGACATCTGTACTGCCTGAGCTCATGTCACCTGAGGGAACCTGTCCTTGGGGTGAAGGGAGGGAGCCAGGCCCACCTGCAGGCATTCCCTGGGGCGCAGTACAGGGAGGTGATGGGCATCGAATTCTCCAGCACCTGGATGGAGGTCAGGGAGGGCACTGGGTCTGCAAGGAGAGAGGCCGTTGGGGCAGGGAGCAGGGTGACAAGGCAGGACACAAATGAGAAGCAGCCAAGACTTTCCTTGCCAGACTGGGATCGGTCACTCCCACCTTAGGATGAATAAGTTCCAGGTTGTTCTTTCTAGACCCCCACAATGGCTGGGGTCACACCACCCTCTTCCCTAGCAGCCCAAGCACCAGCCGGTTCCCATGAGCCTGAGGTCTGCCTGCTTGACAGAACCAGAATGCCCAGGAGCAGGGATGGCTCTCCCATATCCCCTGCCAGGGCTGTAGAGGAGCCTGCCCCTCAGGCCTGTGTTCCCCATCGCACACATCTTTGCCCAGCTCTGGCTTCAGTGATGTCAACTTGGTAGCTTGAAATCAGCCACAGTGGGAGTATTCACACAGGCAAATCAGGGCTTCCCCGACCCCCACCCCGAGAGCCGACTGTTAAATACCAGCACACCACTGCGTGTGGCCCTCTCTGGACCAACCCGCCACAGACTGGCTGGCTGGGTAGGACTGAAGGGTGACGGGGGGGTGGGGGACACAAGGCTTTCTTGTTTATCTCAGTTCACCTACAGGCTTGCTGCTGCCTGACCATCCCCCCCCCCCCCAAGAGGGGGAAGCTGGGGCCACTACCACTGAGCATTTGCTAGACCTGGTCCATTTTCAGCTCCAAGAGACACTCAAGGACCCCAGCAGAACGCAGAACACCCCATGGACCCATGGACAGGTATCACATACAGACAAGATGGAAAGGGCCCTTCCCACTCCTCTTCTGGGTGAACTCTCACTGTCCTTCAGACACTTAATTCCAACGTCACCTTCCAGATCCTTCCTTGATCACCTCCCCACCCCAGCCTCGACAGAGTGCCCTCCCCAGGTGCCCAGCTGCCTGCACGTCCCCTCAGAGCCTCACACTCTCCTGCGTTTCGGTGTCTGTGAGCTCTTTGGGGGTGGGGCATGTCTGTCTCCATCACCCCCAGGGCCCTGTACAGAGCCAGCCACAGAGCAGAGGCCCAGGAAATGGCTGTCTGGTGAGCATGCACCCATGGGGTTTCCCTCATCACTTTGAACTTCAGACTCGGCAAGCCACAGTTTCAAAGCTTCTTTTTTTTTTTAAGCCACAAAACTCACCAAATGAAAGTTGATGAGGAGGCCCAGTACCTGGAGCATTGCCACCAGGCTGAAGGCTCTTGGCTCTTGGCCTCCCCTTCAACCTGCAGGGCAGCCCTCAGAGGGAGCCTGGTTTGAAAACCTCTGCAATAAAGCATTCTCTGGCTTTGTTAAAACCAAGGGTTTGAGGTTTGGAAAAATTGGGGGGACCCTGTACCACACCCTCCTTGCCCTGGCATGGTGACACAGAAGGAGGCAGGCCTGGAGTCAGGCCAACTTGGGATCAAATTCCAGCTCTGCCACGGACAGGTTGTACAACCCTGGGCAAGTCACTTTACCTAAGTCTCCATTTCCTCCTCTGAACCATGGGACAGTTCCTGTCTTGCAGGAGTGTCATGAGGAATCAATGAGGCGATCTATCTGAGGCTCCAGGCCTGAGTCCTGGTACTTAGTAATGCTCTGCAAACGTCTGCTGACTGACAGTTCTGCACCCAGGCCTTCACGTGACTGGGCTGAAATGGGCCCTGGCGAGGGAGCCTTGCTGGGCTGGGCTGAGAGGTGGGGCGGCAGAGCATGTACCTGGCTGGTCCCGGGCCTGAGTGGGCTGAACAGGGCTCAGGCCAGGCTGGGGGGCTCCTCGGCGGGCCCGGCCATGGAGACCGAGGCTGGGGCTGTTCTTGGCTTTGCCCTGCCCCCCAGGGAAGGGGACTGCAGGGCTAGCCACAGGCTCCAAGCTCTTTGAATGCTTGAAGTGGCCAATGCCATTGGCTGACAGGCCCCAGGACTTGGCTCTGATGTTGGTGACTGGCAGCAGGGCCATCTGGCTGGGGCCTGTGGAGAGAACCAGGGACAGGCTGAGAAGAGGGAACTGGCTGCCTCCTGCTCAGCTGTCTCTAGGACCCCTGCAGACTCTAGGTGACTCCCATATGCCTCTTGGTTCCCTCCCAGTCTTTCTGCAGAGCCTTATTCTGGGCTCCAGGAGACCCTCCCACCAGTGAGTCTTGGGGGCCTTTCTCTGGACTCACACAAACCACCTCCCAACCCAAGCCTGGCCCCAAGATAGCCATACCTGAGCGGTTGGTGGAGGGGCTGGGACTGGGGCTGAGACCGTGACTGGGGTTAGAGCTGGGGCCAAGACTAGGGGCAGGAGTAGGGCTGGGGGTGGACGAGGAGCAGCAGACGACCGGGCAGGGGCGGCTGAAGCACAGGTCCACAGTGCGTATGGCTGGACCCGGAGCTGAGCTGACCAGGCCGGCGGTAACTGAGGAAGGAGGCCAGAAGCTGTGTGAGCCAGAGGGGAGCAGCAGAGCCCCCCAGCCAGAAAACAGCCACCTCTCCCCCGTCCCTTATCTCCAGACCCACCCCAGCTACGCACCCAGCAGCAAAGAGGGCTGTGTGCCTGGCAGCCCAGTGGTCACAGGGGACTGTCGGAGCTGAGTGGTCCCAAAGCTCTGGCTGGACCTGCTGGGGAAGGGTGGGCTGAGCTCAGAGGGGCTGGGAGAGCCGGAGCGGGGAGACCTGGGAGTCCCGGAGAAGCAGGAGGGGCAGGAGGAGGTGAACAGGGAAGGTGGAAAGGAGGCAGGAGCCAGAGGCAAGAGGGAGGGGGCTTGGTCCACACACGTACCATGGGCACAGGGCCTCGCTCCCCCCAGGGTGCTGGGGCCGGAGCAGGGCCAGAAGACAGGAAGTAGACACGGCAAAAGAGCTAAGGAGCAGCAGAGAGGAAAGGAGGGGACAGGCACCGGGGAGGAGAGAAGAGAAGACACAGTCAGAGATGGCCCAGGAGCTGCAGGTGACAGGGGGCAGAGCCCAAGTTCCCACCCTGGCCCTCCTTCCTCCCACCCTGTTCCAGCCTGGGCCCCCTGGATGCTACTGACTCAGGCCCAGCTACCCGGAGGAGCACTGAGTAGACCACAGAGAAATATCGGCTTCAGCAGGAACTGGGAAAAACAGCTTCCCCTCCTAGGGAGCCCTTCCCACCCACTTGCACCAGCCCCCAGCAGGCTGAGACCCTGAGGGGAAACCCCCTTGAGAGGACACAGCCTCCTTGGCTCCTCTGACCCTGGGCGGCCCACCGAAGCCCCGCTTGGCCTGGCAGCTTGGCTGCAGCCGGACCACCAGGGACATACCCATCAGTTTCTACCAGGTCCTCCTCAGTACGCAGGCTCAGCACATACAGTGTGGACATGGACACCACGCTGGGAGCCACAGAAAAGGGCCACAGTTAGAGCTGGAGCCACCGTCCAGTGCCCTCTCTCTAGGGTAAGGCCTGTGGTCCTTGGGCCCAGGGGCTGGGCTCCCAGGGGTACACTGGTCTCCCCAGCCCTGAGGGACAAGACAGCACAAGGCAGCCCACCTCCTCCAGCAAGACCTCAGCCACTTGGTCTCCCAGTCACATCTTCCTCTTCCCCCAGGCCTGGGCCCGTGGGCAGCTCAACTCCCCCAGCCAGCACCCCCAGAGCCTAGAGGACAAGTCACCTGAAGGCCATGACCACCACCAGGGCAATGATGGTTCCCTGCAGGAAGCGCTGGCTGATGCAGGCCTGGTCTGGGACCACAGACGATGACTGAGGACCAGGAAGAAAAGGGGAAGAAGCAGACAAGGTCCAGACTTAGGGAGCCCATGGGTTCGTCTACTGTGGGCTCTGCTGGAGGTGGGGAAGCCAAGGTCTACTCATTCCCCCCGGGGGCAGAGGGTGAGAAAGAGAAACTGGAGGCTGGGAGGGCCAGAGGGTTGGGAAGAGAGGGGAAGCGCGTGGAGTCAGTGAGCCTGGAGAGATGCAAGCTGGAAGGAGACACTATGGGGGATGGAGAGGCCCCTGGTCTATTTGCCCTCCATTCCTGCCCACCCTCACCTTGCTGGCCACCTTGGGGGGCCTCTTCTTGTGGGGGACGCTGCCCGCCCGGCTGAACTGGCTCCCTGCATGGCTGCAGCAAGAGAGCCAGGGTAAGAGGTGCCTCTGGGAAAGGGGTCTTGCCCTCCCCCACCCCATGCCCCCACCTGAAGGCGCCTGAGCTGCCAGTGGACTTGAGACTATCAAGTCGCCGCAGTTTGGCCAGCTTGTGGCTCCAGCGCTCCAGCTCATCAATGCGCGTCTCCAGGTTGTCAGTCAGCTTGCACAGCTCCTTCACAGCACCCACGTTCTCCATGAAGATGCGCTCCTGCCACAGCCAATGGGCCAATGTTGAGGGCACAGTCAGCTCCTGGGAGACCCAGGCTACAGGCCCAGTGGGGAGCAGAAGAGGAGCCCCTCCAGGCCTCCCTATGCAGGCCAGCCTCAGCTCCCACCACTCTCTGTGGGCCCAAATAGCATCCCCACCTCTGCACCTTTGCCTGGGCCATCCAGCCTGCCTGAACAGCCCCCACCCTGCTCGTCGGAACTCTCCATCTCTCGGAGGCTCTGGCCTTCTGCCCTCCCCGCTCCAATGAACATGGTGTCTCAGACTTCAGCACTTTTATTCAGCAGAGGCCGAAACATACAACATGCTCTTCGGTGCCCAGCCTCACGCCAGGTAAGTTACAAACATCATCCTCACAATAAACCACATGTGTAAGCTTTGCAATAACCACAGGAGAATGTCTTGGCAGTTACTATTGTTTCCCTCCTTTTGCAGAGAAGGCAATGACCCTCAGCGAGGCTGCTCTTGCCCTTGACCACACAGCCATAGAGCTCAAGTCCCCAGCTTCCCGCGCTGAACGCCCTCCCCTGCCCTGGGGGGTGGGGAGGGGGCTCTGGAGGCATCATGAGAGAGAGTTGGGCTGCTCCTGCCTCTGCACTTCAGTGCCCCCGTCTCTATGGAGGAGGAGAATGCCCTCCAGCTGGCATCCCTCTGCCCCTTAGGTTCCCCCACCCTGCAGACCTTGTTCACCACCAGGAAGTTCTCTATAGTTTTCCCATTGGCAAAGACTACGTCTCCAGTGTCCTTCACGGCCTCAGGCAGGATCTCCTTCACCTCCTGGGCGATCACACCTGGGGAGGGACAAGTCTAATGTAAGGAGGGGGCAGGGATTGGAGAGGGCGAAGTTCTGAGGGCTAGAGATTTGGGTTCTAAGGAGCCTTGAAGCAAGGGGCTTCCACTTCCCACGAAGTGTTCACAGGGTTGTAGTTCCAGGGGGGTCAAGGTGTGGGGTTCTCGGGGCTGAAGGGAGAGGCGGATTCCTGGGAGTAAGGAATCCAGGGGGAACTCAGGGGAAGGAGGCAGGGATCCAGGAGGATGAAGGCAGGAATCATCTAGGGAGCCAAAGGGCGAGGATGCCAGGACCCCGATTCCAGGGCTTCCAACGTCAAGGGGCAAGGTACCCGGGTCCTGGGGAGGCGCGTTTTCCCGGGGGCTGAGGGGCGGGACTTCTAGAGGGCGGGATTCCCGGGGGCGGAGTTCCAGAAGTCAAGGGGAGAGGTTCCTGAGAGTAGGGTTTCCAGAAGACAGGGACACAGAATTGCCAGAGGACAGGGGCTGGGTTACCGAGGGCTGAGGTTACTGGGTTCCCGGACCCCAGCCCCATCCGCGCAGGCCGGTCCCTACCCGTCTCGGGCGCCGCGGTCGCCTCGATGCCAGCGCTGGCGGCAAACTCCGGCTTGTATCTGTAGTGCACCAGGCGCATGCGCGAGATCCTCTTCAGCTGCTCCATGGTGTCCACCTGTGCGGGAGCCAGGACCTAGACTGAACCCCTCCCTTCCCGGGCCCGTCGGGAGCGGGCCCCGGAGCCCTGCAGGGCGGCAGCCCCGAGGCTGCAGTGTGGAGAGGAGACCCTGCTACCTGGGTCCCCTGATGCAGAGATCGAGGGCCTGCCACCCGCTCCTCCTTCCCCTGCAGCCCCACCCCTCCATCTGGCCCCGCCCTTCCCACGAGCCCCGCCCACACAAGCAGCACCGCCCCTCGCAGCCCGCCCTTGCCACCAGCCCCTCCCCTCGCAGCTCGGCTCGCCCCGCCCCTCGCCCACAGCTCCGCCCCCACCTCCTGCACGTGCTCCTTCGCCCGCAGGTCTGAGGGGTGCATGAGCGAGCCCATGACCTTGACGTTGCCGTGCACGACCAGCGCCTCGTCTGGCCGGTCCGTGTTGATGCCCACACGGCCATGGTGGAAGACGGTGTCGGGCACTTGCGCCCGCTGCCACAGCACGTCGCTGTCACTCTCAAACTGGCCTGGATTGGAGGCCTAGTGCAAGTTGCGGTTGGATCAGTCCTGGGGGACGGGGGCCTGCAGCGCCCTGGGAAAGGGGGAAGCCCCGCAGCCATCCCTCCAGCTCCAGCCAGGGCTCCTCACCCCACCATGCCCAACTTAAACTGTCCCTCCATTGTGGCAACTCTCAGTCACTAGTGGGATCTCAGAAGGCTACCAGCTCTTGTCCACCTCCATGCTTTACTGTGAAGGAGACACTGCAGCCCGGAGAGGGTGGGAGCCTTGCCCAAGGCCGCACAGCCAGTGCACAACAGGATCAGCACTCCAGCTCCTGACTCCCCAGTACCCAAGTATTTCTCCTGGGTGCTGTTTCTCCCCGCTCTGAGGAGGACTCTCAACCCCCTGGGAGAAGGTGGCCCTCACCCGCACGATGATGCGCTCCGAGATCTGGGCAGCCAGCGTGTAGTTCTGGTTCTGTGCGTGGGCCTGGAGGGCCACCACCAGCATGAAGTACCTGGGGCACACAGGGCTCTTAGAGGCACCCAGGGTCCGGCCCCACCTGCCCCTGCCCCCCAGCCACACTTCCCGGGGAGAGGTACAGTGCACAAAACTGCCACTCAGTCATCTCCCACAGACTCCCCGCACCCCCAGGAAGTGGGCATTAACTCCTCATCCTACAGAGGAGGAATGTGAGTCTCCACCAGGGGGCAGAAATTCCCCAGGGCCCACAGCTAGGAAGCCACAGAGCGTTTCCTTAATCAGAAGCCAGGCTTCTGCTGTCCCGTCCTCAAGTCAGTTGAGGTCAGTTGAGGGCTCTGAGTCTCAGGTCCCTCATCTGTAACACGGGTCGGTCTGTGGGACTCTGTGCCACACAGGGTGGTATCTCCCTGCCCCTCCTCCTCAGAAACGGAGGGCCCCGGGGCAGGGTCTAGCCTGCTCACCTCTGGTCAGGGTTGGGCTTGCCCTTCTTGCGCATGTTGTTGGCGGTGGTCTCGCTGAAGTGCAACCGCCCCACGGTCACCTTCGTGACCTGCTCAGGGGGCAGATTGACCCTGCAGAGGAAGGGCGGGGTGCTCAGGGGGCAGGGAGGGGGGTATTGGAGAGGCAGGCCGCAGGGGGGGCGCCAGGTCAGGAGTGTGTGGCAGGTAGACATGGTGGGTGCCTGCGGGGCCCCCCTCAGCTCCCAAGCCAGCTGCAGGTACCACGTCCCACGGGGTCAGACACTCACGTGACGGGGTTGAAGGGGCGCTTGCTTCGGTCTGACTGGGACTGCTCGATGTTGATGGACTGGTTCAGGGCCTCCAGCTGGGGGAGGAGCACAGTCCAGTGGCACCTCAGGGCCCCCTGCTCCCCGCCTGGTCCTGCCGCCCTTCAGCCTCACTTGCCACAAACTCCGGTGCCTTCCCCGACATAGGTGCACACCCACATCGCTCCCCCCACCTCTGCAGGCATCCCCCCACGCACACACACTCCAGTCACCCTCACAGCCCCCACCTCCACATCCACACCCTCCCCCACCTCCAAGCACACGCCCCAAACCGGCCTCCATAAACACTTGCTCACACCCAAACCCATGCCCTCCCCAGACCCTGTCCCACACCCACGTCCCCTCAACCCCTCCACGAGCACTGGCCCCTCATGACACTGAAGGAGACACATGCGGCCGTGCCCCCTGGAAGCTCACGGTCTCAAAATCAACAGCCACTGTGGTTGTGCTGGGGGGGGTCACAGGGGAGGGGCCTCTAAGAGTAGAGATGGGCAAGTGTCCCCAAGGGCCAGGGACAGCAGCAGAGTGCACAGTGAAGGTTAAGGGGCAGTCAGCCAGCAGAGGAGGGAGGGCATGGGCGTTGGGAGGGCATCCCAGAGAAAGGGAGCCACCAGAGGAAAGACAGGGCCGTGTCTGGGGCCCAGCAAACGGCAGGGCTGGAGTGAAGGACTGGATCCCGAAGGCTTTTGGGGGCTCAGCTTAGAAGTTAGGGGGGCTCTACTGGGAGGGCACTGGGAGCCTTGGAAGAATGGCGAGTGTGGTGCCCACCGTGTCTCAGGTGGGACAGGAGTCAGGAGCCAGAGTGGAAGCTGCCTTAGGCATTCAGACACGGAGAGGGGATGGCCTGGTCCCAGGAGAGGCAGAGGAGAGGAGAGGAGGGGACCGTGTCGAGGGAATAGCAGGGCCCTGTGCATGGTGAGGCGAGGGCAAGAGGGCCCCCAGACTCACAGCCTGGGTAACTAGGGCCCTGGGGCCCTCTTCCCTGAGCGGGGAGCCCAGGGGGAGGGGTGAGCTCATGGGGGGTTTATCTTGGGATGTGGAGCTGAGGCAGATGACAGAGGGGTCAGGAGAGAGGTCTTGGCTAGGGGCACAGACTTGGGGGGCCCAGGGTAGAGAAGGAAACAGGTAACATAACTGAGCAGAGGGCAGAGGAGCCTGACAATTAGGGGCAGGCACAGGGAGGAAAGGCAGGGTGGCAGGGCTTAGCCGGGGGAGCTTCGCCTTGGGGTCTTTCAATGCCCTCACGCCGTCCTGGCCCTCCTGCCCAGCCCTCCTTGCTGAGCCCCCAAACCTGCCTTCACTCCGTGCAACTTCAGGTAGAAGCAATCAAGGGGCTTGAGGCCTTCGGGCGTCTTGACGTACTTGGGCTCGCCCAGCATGCCGATGTACACCGTCACCTGGAAGTGGTTCTTCTTCTGGCACACGAAGGCATCATCGCCCACCGAAAAGTTGAAGCCCTTGTCGGCATCCACGCGGTAGGTGAGCATGGGCCTGGGGGCAGGGGAGGGCACTCACCCGGGGCCCCCCAAAGATGGCCCCGAATGTCGGTCCCTCCCACATGCCTGCGTTCCACAGCAATTTCCTAGCCGGTACCCCGGACGATCCTCAAACCACTCATGGGGCTGCCCCCACTCCTCAGAAATGGAAACTGAGTCCCCAGGAGGATTTACGATCAGGTCTGCCAACTCCTCAGCCGATATTCTTTCCTCTACATGCCTGGGCCCACCCCGCCCTGGTGATGGGGAGGCAGGGCAGGACCCTTGAGGCCCACCAGACAGGAGGGAACTCTCCTGGGGGAGATTGACGGCCCCTCACCACACTTGACTCCTTCCCAGAACACGGCCTGAAGCCCCCTCCCTCCCGGGAGATGGGGTGAGAGGGGATATGTCTGCAGAGCATCACTACTGCCTGACAGCTGGTTGCCGTGGCAACGGTGGAACCAGGCGCCGGCTCGGCACTGGCCCAGCCCCTGCCCACCAGCTTGCTCAAGCCCCCAAACATCCTCATTCTGACTCCTCCATCCATCAGGAGAGGGACACTCTAGACAACCTAGAAGCAGCCTCAGTTTACCCATCTGTTGCTGGGAAGGTGTTCCAAGCACTTTCCAGGACCCTTAGGGGACCTCCAGGTGGCAGGAAGGGGGGCAACTACTGGCCTGCCCTCATCCAGGTCCCCAGGCACCAGGAATGCTCCTGATGCCCAGGGCCTGCTGGAAGAAGCTAGGCAGGGAAAATGTTTCCCAACTTGTGGGGAGAGGCCTTTGGGCCTGGCTAACAACCACAGGAAGGCCCAGGGCTCACCACCTCTCCCTCTCGGGGCTCCACCCACCTGCCCGACCCAGGGGAACACCCAGGAAGCGCCTGGGCCACACTGGGGGCCTCAGCTGCCAGCTTCCCGGCCTTGGGGCCTGGGGTGGCAGGGCCAGCCCAAGAAGCATAGGAGTCAAAGTGGGGGTCCTCACCAGGCCATAGGGGCTAGGTCCCCAAAGACTCTCCCGCTGACCCTGGCAGGGCCCAAGGGACCTTCAGCCACCACAGCAGGTGGACCCCCCAGCCCTGAGGGCTTGTGGCTAAGAGTTCCACAGAGCCTGGGGCACCCAACTCCAGGAGGCCGGTCTCAGCCCTGAGAGCCCCCAGTCCAGGTACCCTGCCCAGGCCTGGCAAGGTCCAAGGTGAGTCGAGGGGAGCCACACTCTCACCCCGCACTGGCCTTCAGTGGGAGTCGGGGGAGTGGTCCCAGAGTGCTCCTGGCCTGAGCGGGGAAACTGGATCTGTGTGGGTGTTGAGGGAGAGGTAGGAATGCCCGGGCTGCCTCTGACCCAGTCCTCCCCCACTCCCTGGTCCCTCCTCCCCAGGGAGGGGGCTGGAAGGGCCCTGCTGACACTCAGCTTCCTGCTACCTTCCTGGAATGCCGAAGGAGGAGTGGAGGAGGTGGAGGGGAAGGAGGAGTCAGAAAACACTCATTCCCCCCTTCTCCCTGACCTGGCCCCCACCAGCCCCTCCCTGGCCCACACCACCTTCTTAAGAAGCCCTCAGGCTGGGCCAGGACTGAGGAACGCTGAGTGCCAAGCCTGGCTCTGCCCTGAGCCTGTCTGCTCTTCTGTACAACGGGACCATCTTGTACCCAGTGTGCTCCCAGGCCCTGCTCTGGGACCGTGACGCCACTGCCAGGGCTGGGGGGCCCCAGATGGGGTGGCCAGGAGGGGTGGAGAGTCGCACAGACCACTTACAGCTCTTTGTAGTTCGCGTCGTACAGTGTCGCCCACTTGTTCTGCTGATGCGGCTGCCACTTGATGGACTGGTAGTTGGGGTCCAGGTAGGAGCCACTGAGACTATCATTGTCCTGCAGGAGACCTGGAGGGAGGGAACGCCCATATGGGCCCCGGCCCCACACCCCACCTTGAAGGGTGGGCCCCCTGCGGGGTCGAGCAAGCCAGCCACGTACCTGGTGAGGGTGCACCTGGTGGGTGCCAAGGCGGCGTCTGGACCCGGGCGATGCTGAGGGGCAAGGAGCCGGGGCCGGGGGAGAGCGGGCCCTGGGGAGGCCAAGGTGGGGATGGGGCTCGAGTGGGGTGCGGGGGCAGGGCTGTCACGGTCCCAGGCTCCTGTTTGATCATTCCATTCAGCATCTGGGCGTTGAGGGTGTTGGGGGGTGATTCGGAGTGCTTCCTCTTCTTGGAGGGGTGTGTGGGGAGCCTAGGGGGACAGAGGAGTGAGCCATGGGGGGATGGCTCTCCCTGAGCCCCCTGCCCCCGGGCACTAACGCCCCTCCTCCCCTCTCCACCCTGTTTCAGCAGGATATGCCCAGCCAGAGGACACATCCTGCGGGAAGCCCCAGGCTCTGCCTCCTTGGAGCGCCCCCCATCACTCCATGTTGTCATTCTCTGTCTCTGTCACCCCTCTCTAGCCCCCCACCTGTGAAATCCAGGAGCCACACCTGACTTGTCTGTATCCCCATCACACCCAGCAATGGGCCTGGCAGCCAGAGTGCTCAGAATCATTTGCGGAATGAATGAGTTGGGCCCCTTCCCTGTGGTGTCACTCTCAGTGTCACCCTTTATAGGCTTGGAAAGGGAGTTTTGGGAGGGGGTTGAAGATTTTGGGGGCTGCACGGCACCCCTTCCCCTTCTGATTTACAAAAAGTTTGGCAGTGGGATCTTTCCTTGAACTAAATCTTTCATGAAATCTCAACACGTAAAACAGAGAAAAAGACAGTTCTGCAGGTTGGTGTCCGAGCCGGGAGCTGGGATCTACTCCTAGAACCTCCTCAGGAAGCTGAGGACTCCACAAGATGGATTCACTAGGTCTGAGTAAGGGGACAGCCCCAGTTCAAGTCCCAGCTCTGCCCCTTCCTGGTTCTGATACCTGGGTGAGCATCTCCCCCTCTTGGAGCCTCAGTTTACCTATCTGGACAATGGGGGTGGCTTAGCCATTGCTGTAAGTCCCCAACACACTGCTGGGCACATACAGATGCACGTGCTGACCCCCATCTCCGGGGGTCAGGGCCTTCTGTCCTTCCTGGGTTCATCCTTGTCCCTACCTCCATCTCTGCCCCACTTGCTGCTGCCCTGACCCCACCCGCCACCCTGTCTGTCCAGTCCTAGGGGCAGCTATCTGCCCACGTCTTACTCAGCTCCATGTTGCTGCAGCAGCTGGTGCAGCATCTGGGACTGCTGGGTGTGATGGAGGTCGGTGGGCACCAGTCCCTGCCCCATGGCGGCATAGGGGGGCATCGGGGGCTCGGCCTTCATGTACAGGTCCCGCTGCAGGATAGGGTAGTGAGGTGGGGGCGGCGGGGGCGGTGGGGGGCCTGGCAGGTGGGCTGGAGGTGGGGGCGGGTGCTCCAGGCGGGAGGGCACTCCCACGTGGCACAGGGTCTCAGGGGTTATAGTGCGCAGGAGATGGGGGTCTGCGGGAGAGAAGGGAGTGGGCATCAGAGACCTACCTCACTCGAGGTGGTGGTCCCAGCTCTCCCCTGGGCAGAGCCTCCTGATTCCCACCCCCTCCTGGGCTGAGCCTGGGGGCTGCCCTCCCTCCGACCTCATGTGGGAGGAGGGATGGGCAGCCTAAAGACTGGCCACTAGAGGCAAGACCCTGTCCAGGGGATGGGCAGCCTTTCGCCCCATCCTAGCCAGCTCCTTGCCGGGGCCGGGCCTGGCCCAGCTCCCTTATCCCAAAGTTCTCCTCCAGCTCCTCTCCAGCCTGGTCCTCCTCTGGGCCTCAGGAGGAAGTCTCCAGAGACCCCCAGCACAGTCCTGTGGCAGCCCTCCTCCCTCTGGCAGCCCCTCTACGGGGCTCCCAGGGGCCAGCCCCCCAGCCCGAGGGGGGAGGCCCGCTCCCTTTGTTCCCCAGGAGGCATTCCAGAGATGTTTTTGGTAAGATAAACAGAACTCTTGACCCCTCTCTGGGCTGTGGGGAGACAGCTGCCTGTGAGCCTTCTACTCGTGGCCACCTGGGGGCTGCTGCACCCCTGAGCACCCCCCGAGGCGACGTGGGCCCAGCCGGCGGCGAGGCCCGCGCTCAGGCTGCACCCCGGGCCTCCCCCAGCCGTCCACTTACCGCCGAAGGGCGCGTCCATGATGGCGCAGGCGGGCAGGCGGGTGGCATCACCGGCAGGGACACTTGCTCAGAGGCAGGGCCAGGCTCCCCACCCGCCCGTGGGGAAACAATAGCCAGGGCCACAGAGTATTTGACCAGCGATAATCTGGGCTGTTGGGCGGCCGCTGGCCCCCTCCCTCCCTCGCGCCCTCCCTCCCCGATAAGGCCGCCCCAACCACTTGCCCAAACCCCAGAGGGGGAGGGCGGTGCCCGCCGGACTCACCATTCACCTGCTGGGGGGAGTAGGCCTCGGAGCCCGAGTCTGGGGGAGAGTCTGGCAGCGTGCTGCGGGAGCAGGAGGAAGGGGCCATTGGATGGGCAGCTGAGCCCATGCCTTCAAGCCAGACAGCTCCTCTGCGGGGCAGGCTCCCAGGGACCCCAGAGGCCAGTGGCATCACGGTCCCCTCACACCCACCCTTAGGGGCATTTCTCTGCACCAGCCACCATGGGGGGCCTGGCAGGACCCGGGGCTGAGTTGTGGGTGGGGGACTGTGGGCTCCTGCCCAATATCCCTTCAGACCGACCTACTGGGCTTCTGGGGGCCAGTAACCAGTGTCCCTGAGGATGGCACAGGGGTTCAAGGACACCCTCCCCAGACTGAGGGGCCAGGTCTGCTCCCCTCTTCCTGCACCCACTTCCTGGAATCACGGGGCCCTGGGGGCTGGGCCTGGGGAGTTTCAGCGGGGCGCCGGGGGGCTGCCCCACCATGGGCAGGTGTGGGCTGGGCAGGGAGCCAGCTCCACCGGGCCTGGGTTTATTTTTTTCTTGCAGTTTTTGTTTTATCAGTGGTTCAGGGAAACAAAAAAAAACTAAACCCTGAGAGGTCAACACGTCCTGCATGAACCCTGCATTCGCCCAGGGATGTGGAGGCTGCGGCCATGTGGGGGTCTGGCTCTCTGGCCATCCTGGTCCCTGCATCTGGAGAGACTGCCCACTGTCATGCCCAGGCAGCTGCCAGAGGCGGCCGAGCTGTCATGGACACAGCTCTGGGCTGACTCCAGAGTCCCAGGGCTCCCCTGGACAAGCTACCCACCCAACCCTGCCAGCGGTGTAAGGATGACAGAAGAAAGTGATGGGGACTCAGTCCTTGCCACGGCCCTCAAGGCCTGGCGGGCTGACGGGGCGTCCCCAGCTCGGCGTCCACCACCTGCTCCCTGCACTTCTCTGACAGTGGCCTTGGGTTCCTCTACTGTGTCAAGGTCTTCCACACCCTCCAGTCTCTGCAATCGAACGCCAGAGTCCACAGGCCTAGGGGTCTTTCCTTACAACCCCTCGTGGTGCTCATCAGTCCTCGATGTGGGGATTGATTGATTAATACCTCACCCCCCAACTAGACCGCGGGATACACTGCCCGGGGCATGGGGACGTCTCCTTTACCATCTAGCACAGGGCCTGGCAGGGGTGCAGGCAGAGAGAGGCTCCAGGTCCCTCCCTGGAGGGGGCCCAGCCATGGCATCTCCGTGTGGTTCTGATAGGCCCTTTCTCTCTCTCAATCCTGCTGTGAGGGGCGGCCAAGCTTTCCTCGCAGGCCGCCTGGTTTTGGGGTCCCCCAGGAGCTGGTTACTGGGGCAGGTAGGTGAGCTCGTACACACAGAGGGAGGTGGTGGCAGTGGGCACCCAGCAGGCGCTTATTACATGCTCATCCTCTCCCCTCTGCCCCCGCCCTTCGGGTCTTAGGGACAGCCTCTTGGTCTCCAGTGGATGCCTGCCTTGTGCAACAAAGTCTGCCCCCTGGCACCCCAGCTCCCCTCCGCCGCCCTCCCCCTGGAAGCCAGGAAACAGCCATCGTCCCCCCAGCCCTTCCTCATGTCTTCCTCCCTTATTTCCAGAGTCACCTGGACGGGGGAGCCTTTGGGGCAGAGGCCCCGACCCACGTCATGGGTTACCGAGCCAGAAGGCTGGGAAATGGTGGAGCCGCAGAGGCAGCCAGGCCGTCTGACCAGTGTCACCCTCCCAGCACTCATCATTCTTCTGCCCGGAGACAGAGCCCCCTGCCCCCTGCCCCAGGCTGGGGAGCCCAGAACTTTCTCCAAGCCCCTGTGCACAGCCCAGCAGACCCACATTCCCTGCCTCTCCCCACGTGCATGTGTTCATAGGCTGCCCTAGAGTCTGCTGGGCTGGTGGCCTCCTGGAACCTTTGCTCCCAGCCAGGCCCAGGCTGAGCCCTTGGGTCAGGCCACTGGTGTGGGCCCCTCAGAGGGATGGGGGAAGGACCTGGGAGGTTGGCTCAGGGAGGGGGACCTTCAGGTACCACATCTGTGCCATCGGCCAACTCCCTGTGGCCGCCATAAACAGCAGCTGGCTACACGAGTGAGTGGATGGGGCTGGCGTGGCGAGGGGAATGTGTGTGCCCTGCGTGTGTGCACGCGTGTGTAGATGGTCCCGTGAATGTAAGCAGTCACGCCTCCAGCCTCACCCCCTCCCATCCACTCTCCACACAGCCCTCAGAGATTTTTTCCAGCACTTCCATCAACCCTCATCACTCCCCTGCCCAGAACCCACCATGGCTGCCCAGTGCCTCAGAACAAAGCCGTGAGTCCCTCCTCAGCCTGGCCCTTGTCCTGCCCCGCCTCTTACCGACCCACGGGGCAGCCCGCTCACCACTGCCAAGCCCTCGGTCACTGGCCCCACACTGGCCCCTGGGCCCCTGCATCCTTACCCCCCACTCTCTGCCCTCACTCACCCTGGGGCATAGGGAGCCTTGGGCTCTGCCTTGATGGGGGGCCCGGAGCCCCCCAGGAAGGGCTTGGGAGCGGCGCCCATGCCGTTGTTGTTGTTGCAGTTGAGCGGGGCACTGTAGCTTGGGGGTGGGAGGGGGCCATGGCGCCCCGGGGAGGGTCCACCCCCAGGGGGGCTCAGGTGGTGGACCCCGCTGGAGCTGGGGATCGCTGGCTGCCCGTGGGGGTAGGAGGCGGCACTGGCTGGAGCAGAGATGTCAGGGAAGCAGCTGCAGAGAAGGAAGGAAGCTCAGCACCAGCCAGGTCCCCAGGCCCCACCCGCAGGGCAGCGCGGGGATGACAGAGGGGTCAGCGCTGGGAAAGGATGAGGAGCAGCTTTCAGAGGTGGGGCCGTGTCACGCCTGCCAGGTGAAAGGTGGAAGCCGGAGGGGCCGGGGGTGGGGCCGAGGCTGTCACGGGGCCACTCACAGGTCGGAGGCATCCTCCTTGCTGATGTACTCCTCCAGGATGCTGGTGTCGATGTTGGAGGGCTCCAGGGCGCCGTTGATGTCGTGGCCTGCAGGGGAGGCACAGATGTGAGCTAGGGGAGGGGTCCAGCTCCCTGAGACCCTTAGGCTTCTGGACCGAGCCCTCCAACTCTCCCAGGCTGAGCCCTCCAAAACCTATGCCCCTAGGCTCCTCCCCATCTGTGTATCCATGTGCCGGGAGAGGCCCTCCTCGTCCACCACCTGACACCCCTCCAGGAGGCACTGATGATGCCTCCCCCAGCCCACAAGGCCACCTGGAGTCTCCAAGGAGTGGAGGGGCCCAGAGCACAGATCTGGGATAGACAAGTCACGTTGTGCCTCTCCGTGCCCCTTTCTAGCTTCACGACTGAGCAAGTCCCTTCCTGTTGTCTGTAAAATGGGGTAATTGTCCCCCTGTCTTATGGGATGCTGTGAAGAGCAAAGGAGGTGCATTATTGGGTCAAGTGGCCAGGGGATGCCCACCACCCTCGAGGACACAGAACTAGACTCGATGACTGTGTCTTGCCCTGTCCTCCAGCAGCCACTTCCAGGTGGCCCAGCTGGTGGGTCCCCAAGAGCACGAGGCCTGGCTGGGCTGGGCCATACATCCTGAGGGCCCAGGAGGCTGGCGGAGCCTCCAGCACCCCAGGCTCCTGCTGCAGATGGAAAGGGGTGGGGATCGGAACCAGGCATGCCCAGCCCAGCCCACCCTCACTGCATACGCCCATCACCCCCGTAACAGGGCCTAGGGTGCTTAGCCTGGGTTTTCCAGAGGAGGAACAGAGGCCCAGAGAGGTAAGGGCTTGCCCTGGCCTCGCAGCAGGAAGGATGGAGGCCTGAGCCCTGCTCCTCCGCCAGGCCTGCCCGCCCTCTCCTGGGCCCTCCCTGCTGGCCCCGGCCGCAAGAAGGGGAGGGACTCGCAGAAAAGGCGGCCCAGGGCTCTCAGGCATCAGCAAGGGAGGAGAGGGGGAGGCGCTGGCCTCTCTCCTCCCGGGGTCACCTTGCGGGGGGAGCCAGAGGGCGGGATGATAAGGGGGCTGACGTGGGAGATGCGTCAACCCTGATAATGGAGGACGGCCCCACCCACACTGCTGACCTGGGCTGGCCAGCCCCACTGAGGCAGGAGGTACCCCTCCCACTGGGCCCCGGAGCCTTGAGTCTGGGGTCGGCACCTCATGCCCCCTCCCCTGGTGAGCCCTGGGAACAGAGCTCAGACAGGTCCAGGAACAAATCCTGGCCCGCCTCCTCCCCGTTGTGTGACCTTGGGAAGGTCACACACCCTCTCTGAGCCTCAGTCTCCTCATTAGTAAAATGGGGACACGAACAGCTAACACGTTACAGGGGTGATTTGAGAATGAAATAGACTAAGGTACGTAAGGTGCCCAGCAGAGAGTGCTAAGCAGATGGAGTGGCTGTCCTCACTTCCCAGTCCCCAGCGCCCTGGGGTCCCCAGGACCCCCCAGCCCAGGCCCCTCCCTGGCCCTGGCCGGCATTTCAAGAATGCTGAGCCCCGCTTAGGTGATTAATGAGTGGCTAAGCCCTCCTAGGAGTCACGCGCTGCTTGGGACAGGCCCTCCTGCGGGCCCCCACCCCCGGCTCACCCAGCCAGGAACAAGGGACACCCACCGAGCACCGCTGATGGCCGGCTAGGGCCCTGGGTGGCCAGAGCAAGAAGAGCTTCTGGAGCCGGGAATGACCAGTCTGCCTGCCGAGGTTCTGGGGCTCCTGTCTACCTTCTGGCCCCCACCCCATCCTTCCCTGTTTACGACAGGTCTCCTTTGTTGAGCGCCTACTGTGTGCCAGGCACTTCTGGAGCCAAGTACATTGATAATCATATTACATGCTGGGTACCCCGTAGGCTCTTCACGTGCAGTGTGACACTTAAACTCCCAACCTGCAATGGGGACCACGATGACAGGACAAGGATGGTGACAGCGGCTCCTGCTGACAGCACCCAACAGGACCCAGCACTATGCTGACTGCTTTCCAGGTTTACCTCCCAGTCACCCCTGCAGACTTGGTGTTATTAGCATCAGCCCCTTCGTTCAGAGAGGTCAAGTCTCTTGCCCAAGGCAACACAGCAATGAGGATTCAAACCAGGGCCCAGGGACCTGACTCCAAGGGGGAAGGTATGGCTGGTGGTCGCTGAGACTTCTGGGCCTTCCTGGGCTGCCCCACCTGATGGGCTGGGGGGGTGGTTCCCAAGGCAGGATGGAGCCCAGGTGACGGGGAGGGAGGGCATACTGGAGCGTCACCCCACCCTTGCCCCTGAAGCTGCAGGTTTTTGAGCCTGAACTTGGAATCTACAGTGAAGGATGAGGTGACGGAGTCACGGTGTTGCTATTTATAACAGGCCAGGCCCCCTCCTCCCCCTCCTTCCCTCGGCCAGGAGCGCTCCTACCTAATCGCCCCTAATCCTCCTGCCCACCTCCCCCGGGACAGGGGGGCCTCAGGCAGAGGCATCCTGGGAGACCCTAACGAGAACCAGATGTGGTTAGCGGGAGGGGAGACCCTCCCGTGCCAGGGGCCGGGCGGACGGAGGACGGAGGAGGGAGGAGGCAGCCCCTGGGGAAGGGTGGGGGGTGGGCCGCGGGGTGGGGGTTGCGGGGCTGGTGGGCCTCCTGAGGAACACTGACTGAGCCCACCTCTTCTCCTTCTCTGGGAGCCCTGGAGGCCGGCTTGGTCTTCTCCCCACACTGCCCTGCCCAAAGGGTCCAGCTGCCAGGCAGATGCCCCCAGCCCGCCCCCTAAACCACCCTGGACATTTCTAACCGAACATTCTGGGAGGACAGGGTGCGAGTGGGGGTCTGCTGGAGCCCAGGGGCTCCTGAGGCTGGGACAGAGCCCCCAGGAACCCAGGAGGAAGGCAGCGTTGGGGTCCCCCCTCCTGCACTGCTCCCAAAAGAGCCCTGGAACATCCCTGAGCCAACAACAGACACCTGCCAGGCAGGAAGTGGGAGGCTGCCCAAGGTCCCACAGCCAGAAAGTGGCACCACCAGGTCCCTGCCCTCCCCCTCCTCAAACCCTTCAACCCCTTCCCACTGCTCGGGATCACCAGAGCCCACCAGAGTCCAAGGCCTGGCACGAGCAGCCCCCTGCCTGCCCCACAGCCTGCCTCCTGGCAACTCTCCATGGTCTATCCCCTGCCTCATTCCATCCTTGGACAAACATCCCCCTTGCACCTCAGGGCCTTTGCACACGCTGTTCCCTCTGCCCAACAAAGCCCATTCGTATTCAGTCTTTAGGTTTTGGCTTAAATGTAAGTTCCTCCCAGAGGCCATATCTGACTGTCCCATCTCTTGAGTGGCAGCCTCCTTTCTACTTTCTCATCAGGCTCTTTTCTCTCCTGCTTAGCACAGACCTTACAGACGGGTGGAGGGTCTGTCCACCGCCTTCCCACTGTCCACAGCTCCCACCACACCACACACTTCATACGGCTCCTATTTAATTCTCCTAATAATCCTACCTACGGGGTAGGGTCTCCATTGTACAGATGAGGAAACTGAGGCTCAGAAAGGATAAGCACCGTGCCCGCTGCTTACAGGTGTGGGAACCGGGCTGTGAGCCCCGCCCTGTCCTGACTCCCTGGGATCTAAGCATCTAAGCATACAGTAGGCACACAATAAATGTCCACGGAAAGAATGAGCAGGGTGGCAAGCGGGACCCTGGCGCCAGGCGTGCCAGGATCCAGGGACCTGGGCCGGGCCATACTGGGGTCAGGGTCCAGGCTAGACAGGGCCCCTCCAGGCGCCCCCGGCCCGGCTGAGCTCTGTGCCCCAGCTGCTCCCATTAATTAGGCTCTTTATTACCTGCTTCTAACAGGAGCCAGGCCGCTGGGGTAGGGGCTGTGGGAAGGAAGCCCCCTCCTCTCCTCTCTCCTCCTCCCTTTAAGGCCACCCAGCTGGGCAGAAGACGGATGCAGGGGACAGAAACCAGGTGCAGGATGAGGGCGGGTGGGGGCCCAGGTGGTCCTCCACCCTGGACACCCGCCCTCCCTCCTCGTGCTCATCACCCCCCCCAACCAGCTGTGGCCACTGGCTGAGTCTCGGCCATTGTCCTGGGGAACGGGGGAGGGTGGGGACCCGGCACAGTGGGAGGCTTGTGCCCTGCCCACACCCTCCCCCCCGCCCGTCAATGGGGCACTTGTCAATTCATGCCCCAAACATGGCGGAAATCCCGTCAGCCACGTGGCTGCGGGCAGGGCAGGCCAGGGCCTAAGGATGCTGGCCAGGCCTAGCTGGTCTGAAGCCGGGGCTGACGGCCCCAGCCTGTCCCCCCGCTGCCCTGAGGGTCCACCCCAGGTACCTGAATCGGAGGGCTCAAGGAGGCCTGGCCACTCACGTGGGCCCCCTTCACAGCTGTGTGACCCTCAGCAAGCGCCCTGACCTCCCTGGGCCTCGGCCGTCCTCTCTTGCGAGCGGAGCAGGGAACCCTGCGTGGCCGGGTGGTCGTGAGCCTCCAAGGAGATGGTGGGAAGCCCCGACCCCAGGAGGCCATTCCTCCATCGACGTGAATTGCTCTGTGTCCATCTCTCTCTCAGGACTCCATCCGCTTCCCGCCCAGGCCGGACCGCTCCTCCCCACGCCTCACCACCTGACTGCCTATCTGCTCCAGGGAGCCTCCCACCTTCTTCTGGGTCCCTCTGAGGCATGACCAGGACCGTGCTGCTATTCTGGCACTTACACGGCACAAGCCAGCCTCCAGGCCTTGGCTCTAGCCATCCCCCACAGTGGGTAAGCCTTCTGTGACTGCCTCCCTGATCAGGCAACCCCTCCTCAATCCCCCCCACGACCCCTTCCCCCGTCACAGAGGGCCCCCAGTGCCGAGCTAATTGACATGCTCCAAACTAGTTCACACTGGGACGGGGCACAGTGGGCCCTCACCTCCTTTCTTCTGGACTTTCTATCTTTATTAATATGACCTATGGTTAACAGGTAACCGCTAGCTGTCCCTGCTTCAGCCTTCCACTTGCGACCAGAGTCTTCTCACTCAAAATGCCTTCAGGTCAGATGCTTGATTTTGCAAGCTATCCTTTGCCTCTCTGCATCAA